ATTCATTTGTCTTTTTGCGGCTTAATATTCACAGACACTATAGTCCATATTGCGTTTTGATTCAAGTGTACTGACCTACTTTTGATTTATTCGTCCAAAATGTGGCATATTCCTTGACATTCCGCGTAATAGGAGTTCCGTTTTTATGACTGGATTCTACAAACCACTCCGTGTTTTCCGCATCGCGGCCGTATGTCTCATATTTTAGAGTAGTCAGTGCAATTTGGGAAAGAAATCAATTAAATCTGAATGTGGACGTGTAAGTATTCAAATGTAACCCCCTTTGTAATCGTTAACATTTTCATAAGTAACTGTAATTTAATTACACATTTTTTTCTTAGTAACTGTAACTGATTACAGTTACATTTATTTTGTAATTAAATTACGTAACGCCGTTACATGTAACTAGTTACTCCCCAACACTGCCAAAACGCCACTTTTTGTTTAAACAGACAGTGTTCTGAAAGCCTTTGTTTACACTCTCTGAAATGTCAGTCTACAAATGGTTTACTACATATCTCCACTTGTTTAGCTGGGATAGAAGAAAGTATTTTAACACCGAAAAAATAATACATACACAACCTTGTTCATTACTGCGCTTCCTCAAATCATGTGCAGGAGCCGTGTTTGGGTCTCAAATTACTGTTCTATCCCCTGTGCAGGGCGCTGCCTTTGATGTGACTTAATGGAAAGGTTTCTTTCTGCAGATTAGGGAATAGGGAACGATTGAGCAGTTTGAAAGAAGGCCCATCTCCCTTCAGGACTGCAACATGCTCTATGCCTGCATGATATCTTCTCTGCATGCCACTTCCTCTGAGCCTTCATCTCCCAGCATGCCTTGCCCAGCTCCTCTGAGTCTAAATCTCCCAGCATGCTTCTCCCCCCCCCACCCCACCCACAGAGACTGGCCAGGCCAAAGTGCACCTGTGAGTTACCATGGTTACCCAAACCCATGTCTTTTGTGATGCTTGTATCACATACTCAAATGCAAACAAATCAAAAACTAATGCTGTATTAATTATTCGAAGGCCAGGATTAAATATACATGTGTTTAGAGATTTGTTTGTGCATTCAGACAGCAGCAGGGCTTTTAAAACCACCATCTTGGATACGGCATTCCCAATTCGGACAATGACTCCCAGATGACGCTGATGTACTTACAGACACAGAAAACAAAAGCCCTCATTTCCTGCTGTTGGAGAGAATCGTAGTCGCTCAGGCTTTAAAAAGTGTAAGAATGTGAGAGAATTGTTTGAAAAACAGAAGATTCTCATACAGAATGTTTCCTCACAATCTTTATCTAATTTGTTGTTCAAATGCAATTTGAATTACAATTATTTACAAAAAGGATATCTGTGATTTTTATGTACTGATTTAGATAGATCTAGTAGTTCTTACTAAGATGGCAGTGTGTATTTTCCGGCTATGGTGGTTATGGGAGGTCATATGCTCTGGGCGTGTGCATCAAAAAAATAGTAAGAAATGAATTAAGATGAGGATCATAACCTGACGCTGCTAAAGTGGCCGTTCTGAACAGTCCAGACCCTCTGTATTAATTTAATTCTCTTTTTAAATCAGATGGGATGCCAGCAGTACTTGAACCACCAACTGTCCCAGAAAAGGTTTTGGCAAAAAGATCTACATTCATAATGAAGGTGCACCGGGCAGAGAAACAAGAAATGTAGCTTTAGTTACAGCATTCGGCAAAGGTCAAAATAAACCAGGAGAAGTGTTATGAAAAATAATATACCCCACACATTTCTTTCCAAATGGGATTAGATATCAGTCCCCTGAGTTTGTCGAAAATAAGTAATCAATTTGCTCTATAATTCTTACAGAGGTTGTCTAATTTTCCACAGACGTGTTCAAATCAGGATTAAAAATAAAACACAAATTTACCTGAACTCCTCAGGGGAAACTAGTCTCGTCCAAACAGTTATTTTGTCACTTTTACTTGAATTTTTTCTGACTCCTTATATCCCAGTCCATGCAACTCCCTCACACTTTCTTTCTGTCCCAGACAGACTGTTTGAAGGTGAGCAGAAACGACCACAAAAAAACACCAAATACTAATATTAATATCAGGGTGTCAAAGATTTTAGTTATTACAGATGACAAAGCATTAATCGGGTGAGCATGGGGCGTGTTCCCCTGAGGGGTGACACCAAACTGGATGTTTGAGCCCAGAGCCCAGTCGAATAAAAATCAATATTAATGCGCACACATCCAGAACAAAGGAAGTATGTCAGTGCTTCTGTTTAGAGGATGCTTTTTCATCCTAACTTTAATTTTTTTTTTCTTCTTAAACCATCGTTCATTCCCCCACTGAGTGGAGGGAGGGGGTGTTTGTCCCCCTGGGAGAACTCATCTGTCCCCCCTAAAGAGTCCTCAGTCAAATCAAAGCTCCCAGCAGCCCAAGGGCCCTAATTCAACATTTCACATCCACACTCACGGGAGTAAAATGAGAAGGACAGCACAGAAGGGGGTGCATACTCCATTTTCCCCCCATTTCTTTCACTTTTCCTTCCCAGCTTTCACACAATGTTTACCATCTTGATTCTTTTCTACTTTTTAAGGTCCTGGATCTTGGCAGACAGATCTGGATCAATCTTTGGTGTGAGTCTGAAAACATGTTTTAACTTATCTATGAATTTATCTTAATGAAAGAGAATCGGATCTACCTTTTATTTTTATTTATTTATTTATTTTTAAAATCTAGGTATCTTTGTACAGTGCTGGGTAGATTACTTACAAATTACAATCAGTTACTGATTCCAAATTACATGACAAAAATTGTAGTTAGTAATGTAATCCATTACATTACACATTTTTAGGTAATATAATTATGACTACTTTTAGATTACTTTTAGATTACTTTTGACCTATCTTGTTTATCACATTGATTTAAATAGGATAATCTTGTATCATATTGATATAAAAATACAACGAGTAAGAAAATGTATTCCATTTGTTGTTAACAACATGAAGTTCATTAAACATCATATTACATCGTTTTTTTTTTATTTGTTTACCTGCATCTCATGTGACCATAACCAACATCAGAGAACCATGAATATGCAAATGTGATACTTCATTATTAAAAAAAAATATTGTAAAATCTCAGGGGTACTTCAAATAAAAATATATTAGGCGAAAGAGGATTAGATGACAAAAAAGTCAAACACCTTCCAAAGTAAATAACCGAGTGATAATTCAAATAAAACGTATGTGTTCATTAGTTGATGCAATATTGAAACACTTCTTAAACCTGAAATGATTTTTGTAAATCCAGTGATCAAATGCTGTGTAGCCATCAGACTAATGACTGATCTGTGTGAATGGCCACAAAACCGGAAGACTTTCTGAGTGTGTATAAAGTATATTTAACTTAAAAGATGAATTAGGGAGAATCAATAAATTATGAATAAATTATTGCTATTGTGTAAATAATATTTAACCATGTAATCCATAAAAAAGTAACTGTAGTCTGATTACGAGTATTTTAAAAATGTAATTTAATCTAATAACAAGTACTTAATTTTTGGAATCTGATTACATAATCTAGATTACATGTAATCAGTTACTACCCAGCTCTGTCTTTGTAATATATTTTTATAATTACTTTAATTCATATTTGTTCATAATACATAAGCTAATGTTAACAATATACATCTTGAAATGTAAAAAACATAATGAATGTTAAATATTTTTTAAAATGAGGTTTAAAATAAAATCATATGGTCAAAAAGTGGCAACTTTGCCCTCCAGATACAATAACGAAACTCACAACCTCAGAATGACACCAAGAGTTAAGCTGAGGATCAGCGGTCAGTCTAATTTCATTGGAGGTGCGCAACAAATTTGTAGAACACATGCAAGATACACACACATGCAAACAGCGCACACACACATGCACAGATGCTCTCACACACACAGGCCAGATGGATCAGGCGAGGCAGGGCAAGTGCGTGTGCACCTCATCCGTATGCCGCGTTTCCTCACTCCAGCGATGGCTCCTCAATTGTTACGTCTCGGGTTTGAACTCCTGATACGAGCGGTATTGTTGTTTTGCCGTCTGCCCTCCCTCTCTCTCTCACACTCATCAAAATGACATCTGTTTACATCTATGCAAACACCTGACAGGCAGCTGATGCCCCTTTCTCTACCCTCTGCTCTAACAAAAGCATAAAAAAACAAAGGCGAGGGAGGGCGAGTCTAGAACGGGAGCACATCTGGGTGTACAGCCACTGGTCTGATCCAGATGTGGGCCGCCGAGCTCTGCAGGCGAAAACACACCTGGACACATACAGCAACAAAACAAAGGGAAAGGGGGAACACAGCCCCCCCCCCCGATTCAGACTATCTATTCTCACTCTCTCTCCATCGAAATTCAAAAGGGAGCAGGGAATTGTCCTGTCCAAGTATGGTGGCCAGTTTCCCCTACAAATCGAATGCACAAAATAAGCTTATTCATGGTCTAATTCTATAACTGAAGAGGAAAAAGGAGTGTGAAAGTCTCACAAACGGCTGTCTCCCTCAAACCCCCCACGGCTGCCCATGCTTAATCCCCCATGATGCACCGGGGCACTTTCAGAGCCACTGAGACCCACACTGGCGCCAAGGGCTCACACACATACGGCCATCCAGATGCTATGGGTAATTAACCTACCTCTGTGAGCGAGCGCGTGTGTAAAAGTATGAGAGACAGACTTTGTGCGTGCGATAGAATCGTTGCCATTATAAGATGACAAAAGAAAAAGGCACGACGGTCACGAATGTGCGCTAGCCTAAAGAAACACAATCAGTTGAGACAAAAACACGAGCGCACACACACCGCAGCAGTTGAAGAGTGAGATCAGGGATGAATGCATGCTGTGGCACAGGGGAGGCAGTTCTGGGCTTGGCTATGCCCAGGGTCTTAATGACTTAATTGAGGTAATTATTTGGATAAGAAGTCCAATCACCTGCCTCTTTTCCTCAAGGTCCTCATCAGAAGCTAATTAAAGAGCTGCTCCCAGCGCGAGTCCGACCGGTGCTACGTCAGAGGGTTAAGAACTCGGTAAAGAAAGAGTAAACTCTTAACGCACCCACATCTTACTCGTCTCGCCAACCTCCTGCTGACCTCTGCGCCACTATTCGAATATGTAGCTTTCTTGCTGTTTTCGAAATCGGAAAAAAGC